TGAGGGTCCTGGTAAGGAATACAAAAAAGTTGGAGTTTTCAAGAAAGAAATGTATATCAATAAATGAACAAAATTACTAGGTTGGTCACAAACTGATTAACATTCCACAAGGCAAAAAAAAAAATGCCTTTGGGGATATGTATGTTTCTTTGAAGTTATGTATGAACAACACCTTATCAATTTCCACAGCCCAATGCTATAAACTGTAAAGTGTGCTTTTATTAGTAGTGGATTGTTAGCCAAATATAACAACAGTTATATTTCCAAGAGCACTAGATGAAGGTTAAGGAGGCTTATTAGAAAACCTCCAGCATTGTATTTTTAGCATTATATTTTTTAAAGAGAATGATCATCATTTTGGTTTTTTTAGAGATAAGGATAAATTTTTCTTTCAGATTACAAATTGTGTAATATGCTTTAACCAAGGGGAATGAAGGCAGCTTAATTGGCTTAGAGCAGCTTGGCTTCCCCCTCCCCCCAGAGCCAAAGATTACAAACTATTAATGGGGGGTGGGTGGGATGGAAATCAACATAGTGAATGGGCAACCAGATTTTTTAAAAAATGAAACAATAGAATATTGGAGTATATCAAACATTAATAAGGTCAAGTATCAGTTTTGGCCTCTGGGAGTGTGTTGGCTTATAAAATGTAGTTATAAAATGGATATTCAATGTTGGTAGTGGTTAACAAGTTTGAGAAACACTGACTTAGGGCATTTAAGATTAGGGGCTGCAAAAGGATCCACGTAGAACACAAGGGTGATTAAAATCATGGTTTTGTCCTCAACAAGGGAGCTGGGAAAGGCTATTAGGTAGACAACCAGCAGAGAGCGCTGCAACAGGGGACAGGCCAAGCAGAGCTCGTTCTCATCCTCAAACCACATGAGGTAAGAGGCCTACAATCTTGGCTGCTATGTGATGTTAAGTGACCCACACCCTGCTTTAGTACTTCAAGCTCAAGATGGTCCACGTAACATAAAATGTGTCCTTTATTTCCCCCTTGTGACACTAGTCTCCTCCCTAATATCTGTTTTCCTTCACTGACATAATAATTGAAATTTGATCTGGGCACATGACCATCCAGCTGAGGACTACATTTCCTAGAGAGGGAATGAGCACGATGGAGCTAGGTATGATCATTGTGACTAAGTGCTACTCCATCCAAAGCGCCCAGAAGTGATGTATGCAAATAAAATTAAATCACTGGCACGCCTTCCTTTTCCGCTCCTTCATTCTGCTGCCTGGAGCAAGGACTCTTTTGGGACCACATGGACAAAGGCAACAGGTTAGGATGAAGGGGGCACAAAACGGAGGTGTCCGGGCCTTTGAGAGGTGTTTTCATACTAGCCTTGGATTATTACACAAACAAGAAATTAAACTTCTTTCTTATTTATGCCACTGGTTTTGAGTCCCCGTTATGGCAGCATAACTTATTTCCTATCTATATCCTCTTCCTATATACGATTAGTAGAAAATAAAAGTTTGAATGGCAGAGGTACATAGACATTTGGCACCTCTGTTTTTAAGGTATGTGGACTTAGACCATACTCTCAGATAGTAACTGTTTGCCTTCATGTCTTGGTGCAAAAACCCAGCAGGCTCACAATTAGATAGAAGGTCAGAGAAAAACAATTCTTGTCCATGATGTATGCTGCTTAGATTAGAATAAATCATACACAAATTTTTTAAAAGATTTTTTTTTTTAAGTAATCTCTATACCCAACGTAGGGCTCAAACTCACAACCCCAAAATCAAGAATTGCACACTCTACCAACTGAGCCAGCCAGGTGCCCCATATGAAAAATTTTTAAGTGTAAAAAAAGTAGTCAAATATTAGCTATTTCATAAGTTTAAATCTAACCAAACTGAGGCTGGATTTCACAGATATGGAGTTTTGGAATTCACAAATGGCAAGCTCTTCAACATGTTCTTTCTACAGGGCCAAGGTCAAAAGCTAAACCCCATGGCAGAGGGCCTGATGTGTAGACCTGTCTCAGAAGCCTCCACAATGTCATCAGCCTGACTTCACATTGTGATCAGAGATTCTGACGAAGCCTTAAGAAATACCCTGACTCTAACGGGATGACTTACAACTGTCTTAAAACAGACAAAGTGAAATGAGGGGTGATGGCAGTTAGCCACAGTTTTGTCGGAGTGTAGACTTTGGGAGGAGGCAAAAGAATCAGCGGTATGACTTAAGCCCATATAGGTGAGCTACAAGATCAACCTCTTTTTAGGAGGCTCACTGTGTCCCACTATGAAAACAGAATATTGCAGATAACAATCTGTTTTCCTGTTACCCAGTCAGTATGACAGTATGGGAGTATGGCAGAGGGCCAAACTATAAGTTATGTTACAGGCCCCATGGTTTTCTGAACATTGATTCTCTTGACCTCAATTCCAAATTTTTGGGAAAGAAACCGATTGGCCCAATATTGCCAAATATAGCAGATGTTCCTAGTGCCCTGTGCCACATTTGCTCGGTCCATCTATGACCTCAGCTGCGCTGTTCATAGAAGCCCTAATGGCTTCCTACCTCAAAGCCCAGCCTTGCCATCTCTGCCTCAAGGTAAAGCCTCCGTAGCTCAGCTTGCACACATGAGCACAGGCTCTGCAAAGTGGGCGTGGAGAGTTACCACCACTGGCAGCAACCCCCAGCTCGTGGCAAACTGGAGTGCGCCCCACCGTCTGCCCTTTAGAAAGACAATTCTGAGGTGCAGTCTGCGTGGTTTCTCCTATGGTTGCCAGTGGAACTGAGCTCCTATTACCATGGTGGTAACCAGCTCAATAACATTCTTCATTGGTTTTCCTTCCTTCCTTGTCTCTCTCTCTCTTTTTGGCTACGTTACTCCCACGTGAACCACCTGCGCCCAAATCCTTGTCTCAGGCTATGCTTTTAGGGGAACACAAACTTAGATACCCAGTACATGTCAGGTGATTACTCCCAGACCAATCATCTTTGGGAGGGCAGAAACATGGCTGTCCTGAGCCACCCCAGGGTATGAGGGTGGGTTGAGGGAAGCAGCTGTCAGGATTTCCCTGAAAGAATGGCCAAAGGTGCTCCATACACTAAACTAATGTTTGGCTGAACTTTTGCATAGAGGTAAGTCAAAGTGTTTCCTGCAGATAAGGTTGGAATTTTTCTTTAAAAAATTTTTAAGTACTTTATAATTGCTCTGGGAATAGAATTCCCCTCACCCCCATTTTATCCCTTTAGTGATACACTGGAAAGTTACTTATTTTAAAATATCTATCTCATATCTAAACTCTCTACTGAGCTCTCATTAATTCTAAGCATTGCCCCTACTCGGGTTCAGGCCATCATCATCTCTTGCCTGGATTACACTACCTCCCCCCATCTTCCTTTTTCCAATCTCATACTCCCCCTGATCTGTTCTCCACGCTGAAGCCAGAGTGATTTCCCCAAAATACAACCCTGATCATGTCACTTCCCTGCTTAAAGCTATCTCTAGTCTCTTGTCATATTTATATTGAAATTCTCAATACCGCTGTGGCCTCCACTATCTGAGCTAATTTGTCTCCTGCTAGCTCGCCAGCTTCACTTCCTGCCAGACTGCTTTCTGTACCTAAGATCCAGATGCCCCAAGTTTTCTTTTTGTTTTTATTTAAATTAATTTGTTTCTATTTAAATTTTAAAATTTCAATTTTAGTTATATTAGCCAACATATAGTACCTCACTAGTTTTAGATGTAGTGTTCAGTAATTTATCAGTTGTGTATAGCCCCAAGCTTTCTTTTCTTTTCTTTTTTTTTTTTTTTAAGATTTTATTTATTTATTTGACAGAGAGAGATCACAAGTAGGCAGAGAGTCAGGCAGAGAGAGGGAAGCAGCCTCCCGGCTAAGCAGAGAGCTGGATGTGGGGCTCGATCCCAGGACCCCAAGATCATGACCAGAGCTGAAGGCAGCAGCTTAATCCACTGAGCCACCCAGGCGTCCCCTGGCCCCAAGCTTTCTTAAAGCTCATCTGAAGGACCTCATTCCCACTCTTATTTCGAGCTCTTTGCCCCTGCTGATTCCTCTGCCTGGGATACCATCTCCTTCCACTCTCTTCCTTTCTCCTTCAGCCTTCACCTAGCCAACCAACATCCACTCACCCTTCAGGTTTTGACTGAAAGAATACGCGCCCACCCTGGACTGGGGTATCTGAAATGGATATATATTGCCCTGTGAGTCATGTCTTTGTATATATCATCCAGTTGCTTCTTCATATGTTTTTATTAATAAGCCCCCAGGGGCCCCTCAGCCGCTGAGCTACTGAGTTCTCACCTGAGAGAACAGATGAGATGATGACATCCCGACCCAACTTACTTCATTCCCGTGTCAAAACAACTTTACTTCTAAAAACAACTTTCGAAATGGTATCAAACCCACCTAACAAAACCACAGAATCCTAGGCACTGCGCTGGGCGTCAGGGACCTAGAACAAGATAGAGGTGGTCCCTCACTGCCCCGTACATTCACGAGCGCGTGTGTGAACCGCTTATTACAAGGCGATAATGGGCGCTGGTACACCATCGGGGAGATCACACAGCAGGTGCTCCTAACTCAGACTGGGGAGGGTCAGCGAAGTCTTACAGAAGGGCATCAGAGGTAAACCCGGAGGAAGGATCCGCAGGTCTGGGGAGAAATCTCATTTCGAGGCAATATGGGAGTCGTCAGCTCGTGCGCAGTAAGAGCAGCCGTCGCAGTGGACGAAAGGGCGAGAGTGGTAGAGTGAGGTGCGGGCGCGGGATCCGATTGTGAAAAGCCCCCAGCCCTCCCTCCCCAAGATACTAACTACCCAAGCCCTCGCCGTTGCTTTCGCCCTTCCGGGATCTTAGCCAGCGCCCGCCAGCCCCGAACCGCGCGCGACCACAGCCACGCCTCACCCGGCCGGGGAGGGCGGGAGTCGGCTCTGCAGAGGCGGCTCCTCCCGCCACCCAGAGACTGCGCGGGACGTGCCCGCCCTGCGCGATGACGTCAGCACGCCCGCGCGCGCCGGGGGAGGAGTGGGAGTCGCTGGCCGGGAAGGGCTGAGGCTCCAGTAACCCCGGCAGGGAGGGGGAGAGGGAGGGGCGGGGCAGGAGCCCCCTGGAGTGCGGGATCGTGGTCGGGACCCGGAGCGAGAGACCCCTCCACACGCTCAGCGCCGCTTCTTCAGCCAGCAGGCCCCGGCCGGCCCGGCGATGGAGTTTCCGGACCTCGGGGCTCACTGTTCCGAGCCGAGCTGTCAGCGCTTGGGTGAGGGGCGGAGCGCGCGAGGGGCGGGGCCGGGCCTAGAGGGGCTTGGAGTTGCAGGTGGGGCAAAGGGTGGGCTCCGGGGCTGGCAGTGCCGGAGGAGGGCGGGGACCGAAGTTGGGGGCGGTGGCCAAGGGGGCGTGGCTTAGGAGAGTGTGGCCTAGGACCGTGTGCAGTTGGTTGCAGACTGGGAGGCGTTTTTCTTTCCCCTGAGTGGAAGGCTGAGTGAGTGGGAACGACGTTGAGGTCCCGGTGGACCTGCAATCCGACCTGCTCCCTGCAGATTTCCTGCCGCTCAAGTGCGACGCCTGCTCCGGCATCTTCTGCGCAGACCATGTGGCCTACGCCCAGCATCACTGTGGATCTGCTTACCAAAAGGTGAGGGGGAGGTCTGAGGGTGGGAGGGGGCTGGTGGAGGATGCTTGCATTATCTCCGGAGTCCCTCTGTCTCCCATTTCCTCTCCTTTACTGTTTTTCTGAGGCTCAGTGCTGGAAACATTGTTTCCTTGTGTGATTATAGGGGGTATATTCAGGTTCTCTCGGGCAGGCTGTTTCAGGACCAGAGATTTGGTTTGACTGGGAGCGGGCCACAGACTGACCCCTGCTCCTTAACTCTAGGATATCCAGGTACCTGTATGCCCACTCTGTAATGCGCCTGTGCCTGTGGCCAGAGGGGAGCCCCCTGACCGCGCTGTGGGGGAGCACATCGACCGAGACTGTCGCTCAGATCCAGCACAGCAAAAACGTAAGGTAAGCGTTGGAGGGGTTAGCCATGACTCAGCTGGGACCATGGATGCTTGCAAACCGCAACAGCTCTTGTAATGGCATTGGAGAGCTTGGTCAGAGTCTCCGCAGAGACAAACCTTCCCTCTCCGCCTCAGATCTTCACCAATAAGTGCGAACGCTCTGGCTGCCGGCAGCGAGAAATGATGAAACTGACCTGCGAGCGGTGTGGCCGAAATTTCTGCATCAAGCACCGTCACCCACTGGACCATGATTGCTCCGGGGACAGTCACCCCACCAGCCGGGCAGGGTAATTGCAACCAGGTCCGATACTTGCCTTTAGGAAGCACCCCAACCTTTTGGAACTGACTCAGCCTCTACTGTTACAAGTTGGGAAGCTTCAAACCTATTGCCTTTGGCTAGAGGAGTCTTTTAGCTTCCTATTCAAATGCGTATTTTTCCAGGCTGTTTGGGGGAATTTCCCTCCTGACCTCCTGGGTAAGGCCTGGGAGGAGCATGCAAGCTGACTGTTCTTGGAGGCATACCAAGAGTGTCTCTTCCCTACAGACTTGCTGCCATCTCCAGAGCACAAGGTCTGGCTTCTTCTACAAGCAGCGTCCCCAGCCCAAGTCGGACATTGCCTTCATCTACCTCTCCCAGCAGGTAGGCACGCCTGCCTGGTTCTTCTCTCCCTTTTTTCCCTTCGCATCTCTGACCTCAGCCTCTTGAATGTCTGCCGTAGAGCGACAACCCAGTCTCCGTCCCAGACAGCCCCTCCAGTGATTGCCCTGCAGAATGGCTTGGTGAGTTGGGCGGAGCTTGAGCGGACCAAAGTAACCCCCCCACGGAGAATAAAGTCCAGGGCAACTGGTCGTCTTTCTCCTTTTTTACAGAGTGAGGATGAGGCTCTGCAAAGAGCTCTGGAATTGTCCTTGGCAGAGACCAAACCCCAGGCCCCAAGGTGCCTCCTCTGGTGAAAGAGGGTGGGATGTGGGCAAAGGCTCAGTTTGGAGGGACGGTGGTGGGACCACTCCAACCCCACATAGAGTAATAATTAAGAAGTTGGGCTCAAAATTTTGCTTTTTAACTCTACAACCTTTGACAAGTTCTTGAACCCATAAAGGTTCTTGATTTTCTCTAAAATGGGACAGAACTGCTACCTACCTTGTAGGGTCGCGTGAAGACTGAGAATACTGGGAAGCGCTCCGCACAGGGATGCTAGCAGATCAGATGCTCGCGTTTTAGATTTTACTGTCATCCAACTTGCGCTGTTGCTCCCTCCCAGTTCTCAGGAGGAAGAAGACTTAGCTTTAGCACAGGCCCTGTCGGCCAGCGAGGCAGAATACCGACGGCAGCAGGTATGAGGACTGGGGAGAGCTCAGGGCTTGGCCGGGAGGGGAGTGGCGGGGGGGGGGGTGCTTTCTTCAAGTGGTAGAGAGTTTGGGAATGGGGGTTATCCTTTCGTTTTTGGTGTGACTCCAGCCCACACTAGGCTCTGAAGTGAGGACCAGCCCTCCTTTCCTTGACACCATGCCCTTTCTTCCCTTCCTTCCCCTTTCCTTGCTCCAGGCCCAGAGCCGCAGCTTGAAGCCGTCCAACTGCAGCCTGTGCTAGGGCCCTGGGCTTGGGGAGGGAGGCTCAGCTGAGGAGGACTCTGGCCCCCACACCTCTAGGGTACACAGGGAGAGGAGGCTGGGAGCAGCCAGGAGTGAAGATGAGGAGGCCACCTCCGGGGAGCGTCCGGAGGAGCAGCGTGTGGAGCCAAGCTTGCAGAAGGCCCGCTGGCCTCTCCAGCTGCCCAGGAGAGAGCAGCTAGAAGTGTCCGGTGGGTGGGCCCTTGGCGAATGCTGGCCAGGCCCCGTACAGCCCCCTGCATTTTTTCATCCCCTTTACACTGAGGCTGCCCCCATGTGTAGGGCGCAAGGAGGGGCCTGAAAGGAATAAAGGATCTTGGCAGTCACTAAGACCTCCAGGTGGCGTGTTTCTTTCTCTTGTCCAACGGAAACCAGAGGAGTCCCATCAAGAATGCTCCCCTGACTTAAGGGTAGAGGCTCCCCAGCGTACCCCACACCAGAGTCACAAGGATCCTAGCATGGTCCACACTTTTATTTCCCCAAAAAGTGCTTTTCTGAAAGGTTCTTTTCTTCTGCTATGGCTAGCACCATACCCCTTCACTGGGATGAAATGTGCCGGGAGAAGGGATACATCTTCTTCCCCTCTGAGTTCTTCTTTGGGAGGGACGTGGCCGCAGCTTTAGTCACTGGCCTCACTCTGGGGGTCTGGTGTCCTCAGAGACTTCTTCTTGTCCCCGCTGCTGCAGCTGCCACATGTCTGCGTACATGCCGCCTCGAGACAACAGAGCCTCATGCCTGGGGTGAGGAGGAAAGTGCAAGTCCCTATTACCTGCTTAACTCTAAGAGTCCTCACCTCCAGCCCACAGAGAGGAGAGGGATCGGCCCGAGAGATCCCTCTGAAACACTCCTGGGATTTCATCTTTTCCTCGGCCCCCGTTCAGAGGCCCTGCCCTGTTCATCGTGCGGGCTTCCTTACCGTCCTCGCTCCACAATGCAGCCATCCTTAAAGACAAGGATCTGGTCAGCGTCCACCACAGTTGAGAGCCTGAGGAATTAGAGTTGAGTTAGGCAGTGCACAACACAGGTGGCCACCCGCCACCCACCACCCAGGTCCCGTACCTGTGCGCCACTACGATGGTGGTGCGATTGGCGCAGACTTTGGCCAGAGAAGCCTGGATGGCTCTCTCATTAGATGTATCCAGTGCGGATGTTGCCTACAGAGAAGATCTGGGTAAACCTGGCCCTGCCTCCCAAAATCCCCATAGAAGGAGGATACGAGCTGTTACCTGAGGTCTTGGGAATCAATAAGGACCTTCTCTGCATTTGAGAACTGTTAAGATGTCTTTATGAAGCAGGGATTCACGCTATCTATCCGCGATGGGACACTGCCCCATAGCAGCAGCCTAGGCCCAGGCAAGGGAGGAAAAAGGGGAGCAGGCAGCCTCAGGCCCTCACCTCATCCAGCAGAATGATGTCTGGAGCCTTGAGGATGGTGCGAGCAATGGCAATGCGCTGCTTCTCTCCCCCACTCAGCTTGAGTCCCCGCTCGCCCACCTGCGTCTCGTATCCTGTGAACATCGCCCACCTCCCTCAAGTCACACAGGCTACATTTGGTTTCTGTGACCAGATGAGCAGGAAGGGATGGAGCAGAGGTCAGAAGGAGGAGTAGGGCTGAATCAGGCAGGGGAGGGGCTCTCTCTGCAGGGGAGCTCACCTTCAGGGAAATTCAGGATGGCCTCATGGATGCCAGCAGCCTGAGCAGCCGCCATCACCTCCTCATCCCCAGCAGTGATGCAGCCATAGCGGATGTTGTTGGCGACGGTGTCGTTGAAGAGGACGGTGTCCTGGGGCACGACTCCAATGTGCGACCGGAGGGAGATCTGGGTCACCTGGAGCCAAGAGACCAAATGCCCCAGGCTGTGAGACTGCCCCACACCCGCCCTCTGGCCTGGAGGGGCGGCACATGGGAGGGGGTACAGAAACCCTGTCACTATCACCCCAGATCCTAGCTGTGTGGCCCAATCCTTCAACCTCCCTGAGTCTTGTTTCTCTGTCTATGAAGAAACAAGATGCTCTGTGTGCCCGGACTCCCTTACTTGGGGAGGTCACACGGCACAAGGAAGGCCGAGGGCTCTAGCTGCAGCTTTTTGCAGGGGTGACATCCTCTCTCCCTGGACAGTGGCCAGCACTCCCCAGAGTATCCTTCTTTAACACACAGGCCCCTAAATCACAGTCTCCTCCCTGGGAGCCCTACCTGGGAGATGTCCTGCCCATCGATTCGGATGCAGCCGGAGCTGATGTCGTAGAAGCGAAACAGCAGGCGCAACACTGTGCTCTTCCCAGCTCCCGAAGGGCCCACCTGGCGCAGTGGAAACAGAGGGAAGACATATTCAGGCCCACTGGCTCTTAAGGCTTACTGTCCAAGAAGCTGCCAGTGTCCACAGAGGCTGCTACGTTCGATCCTATGGCCTGCGTGACAGGATTTGGACTCCACTGCCTGGATCACAAACTTCCAGAAGCACCGGGAGTAGGGAAACTCAAGGAGTCTGGGCCAATACCCGGGTCTTCTCTCACCAGGGCCAGTGTCTGTCCAGGCATGACGGTGAAGGACACGTCCTGCAGGGTCTCTCGCCTGCAAGGAAGGGTGGGCATGGTCAGCAGGCCTGCGGCACTGCCAGTGACCCCTTCTACCAGCAGAGCTACTCCTGGGCCCTGCCGCTCCCCAGCTCAGGCTCTCTTTCTAGGCAATGGTGGGTGAGAAGCTGGGTTGGCCACATGCAAACGGACGACGGGACAGGGGCTGGGAGGTGGCAGAAGGCAGGCTCACCCACTGGAGTAGCTGAAGTGAACGTTCTCAAACTCAATCTGGCCCCTCTGGAAGCGCAGGGGCCCTGCTCCAGGCAGGTCCTTCACCTAGGAGAGTGCCGCCCGTGTGTGCTGCCACCACAGGTCTGGTATGCCCGAGACACCGGGCCACCACGCAGACCCCCATGTCCTGCACACCCCACTCCCCCCGTTTCACTCACTTCTGCCTTCTCTTTCAGCAGGTCGAACATGTTCTCCATGTCGATGAAGTTCGTCTGGATCATCCTGCAAGAACAGCACCGGCTGGGGCCCCTCCGAGGCGCAGGGGATATCAGTGTGCGCCCCAGATGGGGCAGGGTCGGAGGCCAGTTACCTGTAGTAGGTGCCAAACCAGTTGAGCGGCACGTACAGCTGGATGATGTAAGTGCCGAACAGCACAAAGTCCCCGACCTGCGGAGATCCGAGGGGAGGACGAGGCCATGGGATGCCTACGGGCTGTCACCCTGCCTGCTTCCCACCCGGGTACCGGGGGCCCAGACACAGGCCCCGGGCCTCTCTTCCCTGGCCCCAGCACAGCGCCCTCACCTGTAGCTTCTGCTCGCTGACAAAGTACGCACAAAGCAGGGAGCCAGCGAGGAGCCCGAGCCCTATCACCAGGTTCTGGGTCTGATTCAGCAGAACCAGTGAAGCTGTTGACTTCCACTCCAGATCCTGGGGCGATGACATGGGGGTTCGGGGGGAGGTGGAACGTCACATATGCACTCTCACCAAATCCAAACTGAGCCCAGGCAACTTCGACCTCACTTTCTCAGCCCAAAGCTGTCCTCCTCTTGGCCCTGGCCATTCCGCGTGGCTGGGCTGCTGCTCTCAGCAGGTGTCCAGTGGGCATCCTCACCTGGTACTTGAGGATGGCCTCTCGATAGCGGTCCACTTCGTAACCCTCCGCGTTGTAATACTTCACCTGAGGAAGTCAAGCCGCCCTTGTGAGACACGGCTGCTGCCTCAACACATTCCCACTGCCTCCTTCCTCGTTTTATATTTTATTTTTTTAAACTTTTACTCGTATTTAAGTACTCTCTAAACCCAACATGGGGGTCAAACTCACAGCCCCGAGACTGAGTCGCATGCTCTTCCTACTGAGCCAGCCGGGTGTCTGTCTGTCCTCATTTGAAACATCACTTCCTCCCCACTGCACTCCCCCACCCCAGGTCCCCCGGCAGTCCCGCTGGCCCGTACCTCCATGCCTCACACTAATACCACCAAGGCCTTCATTACCGTTTCAAAGTTTAGCAAAGAATCCACAGCTCGGGCCCGGGTAGCATTCTCCTGTGTGTTCATGGCACGTCGAAACTTCGTTCTCCACTCGGTGACCACAATGGTCACAACTGCAGAGTGACAAGAGGGGGAGGAAGGGGAAGAAGAGAACGAGGCGTCACTCTCGACAACAGAGACCACAGGGGGATGTCTGCCACCTGCCACATACACGCGAACGGTGACCAGGGACCCAGGTACCAAAGGGAGCCCTAGCTCCCCGAGGGAAGGGGCTGTGCCCAAGACACCCATGCAACCTGTACAAGACCTGTGTGTGAAAATGCTGTTGGGGGCTGGCTGCATCTGGTTACACGGATGAGGTTTCTCTGTGACGTGAACTCACAAGGTGACCAGGATGCCCTTCCCCGGCCCTCTGTCCAGGCCGAGCTATGGCTCCCCTGGCCGAGGAGGCCAGTCCGTTGTGCTAGGGAGCAGCAGCCGGAATGGATTCGAGTCCCCTCATCTATAGCCTCCCCTCGCTGGGCCAGCTGAGTAGGGGCAGGGCTCACACCCAAGGAAGTCCCTGGAGCATTTCAGGGAGACATTTCCCCCAGGCAGCACTCACTGAGGTAAAGACTCATGCAGAGGAACACAATGAGGCCAAACCAGGCGTTGAAGAACATGCTGAAGTAGATGATGCCAATGGTGATGTCAGCCAGTGTGGGGAGGATGTTGAACACCAGGTAGCTAAGGAGGCAAGTCATGCGACAAAGGAAGGTTTAGGGGCTGGGAGCCAGCAGCTCTGCCCCCGGGAGTTTCCTTGTGGTTTTGATTCTCAGTGACAGAGTAGAAGCAAGCTGAATTGCCCCTCAGCGGGTGGACGGCTAAATAAACAGGTAGCAGGCCCCAAGGACAGGATGCGCCGGGTCAGTTATGAACGAGGAGGCTCTTCATGCAGGGCAGGAATAGATATCCTGCCGTTTTGTTGATAGGGCAATTCTGAGAACGACACCTATGTCGTGATCCCATGCATTTTGGGAAAACCCTCCCTGGCACCCTGTTAGGGCCGTGAGGCTATGCACATACATATGTCAACGTATCAAAAACAGAACCCAACATCCTAGATGGGGTGGGAACCTCTGGAAGAGCGAGCAGAATTTATAAGATACTAGCTCCATTTAGCATACCTATGTTTGTCTTAAAGTTAAAAAAAAAAAAAAAAGGATAAAACAGGACGGAGAGGCAGCTGAAGCTGGGTGCTTTCTACAGCCAGCCCCCTTCATGCCTGCTCCTCCAGCCCCGCTGCCCCTCACTCCGTTTCCGCCGGCCTGGCACC